CATCATATTTGGGTACCACAGTGTCATTCATCTGCCACGAATGTTGGGGACAAGTATCTGTTGGGGCTCCCACTTTTGGATCTTTTGGATACCTACCTAGAATGGAATTCTGGGTTCTATGTTAATTTTCTTTAACTTTTTTGAGAAACAAGCTTCTCTGTTTTATATATATAGAGAGAAGATGGAGGTTGTGTGAGGATGCATTTGGGAAAAAAAGTGAGTAACAAGAAATATCTAGAACATTTCTGAGGCCCCTCCAATCTGTAAGTTCTTATGTGGGGAAGTTCTAAGGTAAAACCAAACCCAACACAGGTTTGGGCACAGGGATTCAAATCTAATGGGTCATGATAGGAATCACAGTGACAGTGTAGGGCTGATTCAGAGCTAGGGTTGATCTGAGCTGTTAATTTAAAATTTTTGTTTAGGTGGGTGTGGTGGTGCACACCTGTAATCCCAGCACTTGAGAGGCTGAGGCAGGAAGATCAGCTTGAGTTTCAGCCGAGCTACATAGTAACACCCAGATAGATAGACGAATGGATAGATAGATAGATAATTTCACCCTGCGAGGGTCTCCACCAGCAGGCAGGTCTCCACCAGCAGCCAGTGACTTGCTGGCACCTGCTGCCCATCTTTCTGGCTGCCTGTGTCTGTTCTAGCCCAGCTGTGCAGTGGGTGGCTGGGGCGGAGGATGAACCATCCCCATGGGGAAACAGAGCCCTTTGGCAAGTCAGGGGCAGGGACTGAGTATAAATAGCCCCTGGCCAAACTGGGAAGGCCTGGCAGGAGTCTCTGCCCTCCTCCTCATCAGCTGCCAGTGCCAGGCAGGTCCCTACCTCCTTTGGGAGCCTGGCCATCATCTGAGATCCTAAATGTAGGAACTTCCTCAGCGGAACCAAGAAGTCTTGTCCTGTGTGTAGGTGGAACCTCCGGATGCCTGGAGCTGGGGAGTGGGGATATCAGGCTGGCACTTTACAAGGGGCATTCCATTATTCTTTGCCCTGGGCTTGAGCAAGTACCTATCATGCTCCTGGCTCTGTGGAAGGCCAAGGGTGCTGGTACGTGTGTGTGTGTGTGTGTGTGTGTGTGTGTGTGTGTGTGTGTGTCGGGGGAAAGGATTGAGGGAGGAGGAGGAGACATACCCCCATCCTTGGGTACCTACACTCACCCAGCCAGAGGCATTGGAAGCAAACTGCTTGAGCACTTTGTGATGAGGTGGTCTGAACAAGGTGCAGGAGCATCCAGAGGGAGGGGAGGCTATTTCAGGCTGGGCGCCCATCGGGGTTTGTGAAGAACGGTAAGATGTTTGCTGGGGCTAGAAAGCCACTCCTAAGGGAGGGCTCAGCTTTGGCAAAGGCTCAGAAGTGTGAGGCAGACAGGTTGCAAGGCAAATGTAATCAAAGCCACTAACACTTTGGTAGAAAGAAAGGAGGAGAATGAGACTCCCTATGTTGTCTCCCCCAGGGAAATGTATGCTTTAATAATCTGGACAAGCAATAGTGAAATTTCTGTGTCTGTGATTGTGGAATGTCAGACATGGCAGTGTGTGAGCAGGAGCTCAGGTCAAGGGTGGCAGGGCACATTGTGGGAAGCAGTTATCCTGCAGAAATCAGTCCCTCGGCCACAGCCTCATTAGCATCAACACCAGCCCTTGGAGCTAAACCTCCACCCCAGAGACCCTTGCTAATTGCCAGCAGGATGTCCAGATCTGAGCTGAAACCTCTGAATGGAGCATACTGGAAATGTCCTTCTGCCCTTCCCTTTGGGTTACATGCTGCCAGATCACAAATGTCTTTGTTTGTCAGCCCCGTTAGGACTGAGCTGCCAGGGCAGAGGTCTTTGCTCTGAGCCAAGGCATCCTTCTCAGTGTTGGATAGGAAGGGACTTTGAAAATCCTAATGCCTTCTGCCACATCCGAAATGCAAGGATGAGAGGAATGAGGTTGGCAGCCAAAGCAGGGGACAGAGTGCTGGAGACAGCCCCTAACCACACGGTTAGGGGATCGAACTCATAACCTCACGCTTGCCAGGCAGGCGCTTATGCCGCTGAACTAAATCCCCGGCCCAACCACCATTTCTTGAGGGCTTCCCATGTGCCAGGCATCTGGAGTTATTCCATTTCCTCTTTCCATCATGTCTGTTTTGCAGATGAAGAAACTGAGGATGGAGAGGTTAAGGAAATTGTTTAGATCGGTGACCTGGATGTGAGCTGGGCCTCCTGGCTCCTTGGTGCTCCTGGGTGCCCAATTGCCTGGGTGGGAGGAATGAGACAGGGCTTGAGGCAAAGAGAGGAACTAACTCAGAACCGTGAGTTACTGGATGGTGTCATGCTGAGCTGTCCACACTCCCAGTTTCTGTGTCTAGTGGCTGCAGGGCGGGCAGAGGGGAGAGGCAGGTGTCAGGACAGGCTCAGGAGCATGAAGTGGGATTTGATCCCTAGCACAGGGAAGAACATGGGAGGGGCAGCCGGAACCAGGAAGCAGGCTCAACTCTGGCACTACACAAACCTGCAGACCCAGGCAGGGCGCTAGTTCCCTGTGTCCTTGTCTGTGAAATGAGACAGTGGTGACAGTGTGAGCTGGTAATGTGGTGACCTGCTGTGAGGATTAAACAAGGTGACAGCAGCCAGAACTGTGCCCAGTAAATGATAAGTATTTTGATATCACATTAACCTGTTCTTTCCTGCAGGGCCCCATCAAGCAATGCTGTCCTTTGGACTCACTGGGTCTCTCCCACGCAGGCCTGAAGACTTACCCACTTGCTTGGGACCCAGATGGGCACTACTCACAAGACAGGGAGCAAGTCAGGAGGCTAGGTCTCCATGAGAGACTTGGTAGCTCTGTGATCTCCGCTGGCTAAACTATCTGCAAAAACAAACCTTTCTGGGGCTGGGGATTTAGCTCAGCAGTCGTAAGTGCTTGGTTGTGAGTTCAATCCGGGTACAAAAAAAAAAAAAAAAAACAAAAAAAAACCCAAAACCTTTCACCTTCCCTTAAAGACCCCACTATGTGCCAGGTTGTTAATGAGGCTCAAATGGAAGCCAAGTCAAAGAAAGGGCTCAGCTGAGCACAGAAGAAGTCAGCAATTAGCCATTGCCAGTGATAACAGTGACAAGCCAGAACTTTGGGCCGCTCTTCTTGCTTTTTAAATGGGCTCACTGCTCAGACCTGGTGGTGCATGTCTGTAATCCCAGCATTTGGGAGACTGAGGCAGGAAGATCACCATGAGTTCGAGGCCAGCCTGGACTACATAGTGAGTTCAAGGCCAGCCTGAATCTCAAAGCAAGACCTCTCTCCAATCAATCACTCAATCAGTTTTTAAAAGGGGGCTCAGTGCTTGAGTTCTGGAAATGTTTCACAAATGTCACCATCCAAACTCCCAGGTCTGGTTCCCCAAGCCCTCCTCTCAAAATAAATAAACATATAGAAAAACCAGGGTCTGCTTCTGCTCCTGGCAGCTGAACACAGAGGCAGCCCAGGTGGTTGGGCACTACCCAGAGAGCTCCATCCCTAGGAGCCTCCATGAGTTAGTCAGGAGCAAGCCAAAGTATGGGAGAAGGATCCTGGACCCTCTTTCCAGGACTCTCCTTGATACTCTGCATGGGGAACTTGACTTAGGCCAGTGCTAGACCAAAGCTTTGGTCAGTGCTGGACACAGGAGGAGAGGGATGGGTCCCATGAACTCCAGGGCATTCTGCTCCCATTGCAGCACTGATTGCTATCGACTGTGAACCCCACTGAGACTCACATGTCATTTTCTTGGTTTCTCCCACAAAACGTCATTTCTGCTCTTCCTGTGCTGGGGAGGGAATGGAAAACTAATAGTTCCCACACTACTTTGGTTTTCTAATATATTCAACTCCCCCATTCCCTCCACAAGACCTTTCCTTCTGTGGACTCTATTGATTGAAAAATGGGCAGAAGAATGGGATGGCTTGACCAAAGTCACATTGTGTTGGGTGGGGAGAGTGACAGCTAGGGTCTTTCTCATGACCTTGAGCTAAACTTGTCTTGAAACATAGTTGAGCTCCAATCTCGGTGAGAAGAATGGTGGTACTCTAGAAACTTCCAGGGTGCTTGCCTGGCACGATCAAGGCCATGGGTTCAACCTCCAGCACAACAAAAATAAAATTCATAAAATAGAAACTTCTAGGGAATTGTAAAGACTTCCATAGAGGCCCCGGTGTGCCGAGATCTTGGTGCCATTGATTCCCAGGGAAGGCACCAGGAAGCTATGGGTTGAGCAGGCAGCTGCCTAGCAAGTAAGCTGAGGGGTGTTTTCATTGTGGTGTGCACGTGTCCACACGCATGTGCATATAGTGTGCACACATACACATGTAACTCTCCGCTGGGATTTCTTTTTCTTTTCTTTCTTTCTTTCTTTCTTTCTTTCTTTCTTTCTCTTTCTCTTTCTCTTTCTCTTTCTCATCAGTGGCCTCCATGGAAAGTTCTCTCTCTCTTTTCTTCTTTCTTGGTACTGTGAATTGAACTCAGGACCTTGCACTTGCCAGGCAGGCACTGTGCCACTGTGCCATAGCCCTGGCCCTCTTTGTTTTTTCTGAGATGGGGTGGAGGTCAAACCAACTTCCTCCCTTTAGGTTTGGATTCCTATAAATCACTGCAGTCTCTACAAGGCCCCTTGAATCGTGAACTCCCTGGACCTCCCATCTCCGTCCCTTCAGTGCCATCAGGGACTTGAAAGGCAGTGATCTGCTTTATATTGTGTTTATGGTCCAGGGTTCTTTTCATGGCACTGCATTGCCCCGAGGGCTCTCATGAGAGGTTCTGATGGTCCCTGTCCCCATGTAAGTTGGGTGTGCTCACATCATTGCCTGGCAAAGGCAGCATGCTGGTGCAGGCACTGACTGGGCTTTTCGAGGTTTAGGGTTTAGACCAATACGTTCTCCATTCCTCCACTTACTCTAGAGGGTGCATGAAGAAGTGATGCCCATGCTGGGGCATGTGCTTTGTGCCTACAAAGTCCTCTCTCTCTGTCTGTCCACAGGTCCCTGGCCCTGGGCCAGCAGTACACATCTCTGGGCTCACAGCCCCTGCTCTGTGGCTCCATCCCAGGCCTGGTCCCCAAGCAACTGCGCTTCTGCCGAAATTATATCGAGATCATGCCAAGTGTGGCTGAGGGTGTGAAGCTGGGCATCCAGGAGTGCCAGCACCAGTTCCGGGGCCGTCGCTGGAACTGCACTACCATAGACGACAGCCTGGCCATCTTTGGGCCAGTCCTAGACAAAGGTATGCCTCTGAGAAAGTGGGAGATGGGGAAGAGACAGCAGGGGAAACAGTGTCAGGGCCTATGCCCTACCTCTGCAGAGTGGAGTTGATAAAATTGATGATGATGGTCATCAGTGGCCTCCATGGAAAGTGTGTCAGTCTCTACTCTGGACAAACCAGCCAGTCAGCTCTGAGACGACACAGGCTGGGAAGATTTGAGAGCAGGCACCAGGGAGCTCATAGCTTTCCTTCCTGGCTCACACAGCGGGGACCCAGACTTTGATGTGGACATTTGCAACATTTCCCCAATCTGTGCTAACTGCTATGCAAATACCACCTTGGGGTGGGTTGGGGTGTCCCTGTCCTGCCCCTCCTCCATTCTGGAAAGTCCTCTAGAGCTGAGGAAGCTGCCTGGTGCCAGTATCATTGTTTTGCCCTCAAGTCCCTTTTTGAGAGTTTTTGTTGGTCTCTGTGCCTTGCAAACTGGATAAATCCACAAACTCTAGTGGGCACACTGGCCTCTGGGTAACTTCCCAGGAGTCTTACAATCTGGAAGTATAACTCGCTATGCCTCAAGTGGATGAAAATAACATGATTTGACTTTGAATTTAGAAGCCCTGAGGGTGAGTTGAGATAGGGAGATCAGGCAACTGCTCCCAAGAAAGGGGTTTGGGGTTCCTGGGTTCTGGGCTGAAAATGAGCAACTATTTGGGGACTTGCAATGTCCAGGAATTTCATGACTAGCCAGGCTGGCCTTTACTGGAATTTTGCCGACCAAACCACCCAGTGTAGTATTTCCTCCTCTTAGAAAAGAGAATTAATCGATAGAGCTTGCACTTATAGCCAGAAAAAAAAGTAAGGGGGGCTGAGATCGCCTCCCTGCCCCCCAGTTGAAGGGCAGGGTGAGAGTCTGGGGGTGGGGAGAGCAGACTGCCCCCATGTCAGAGTGCAACGTCCCTTTACCTGTCCTGTGGTGCACAGGGTCTGTCCGACCTACAGCAAAATGCTGGCTATTGTCATGGGACCGGAGGGCAATTAGCAAATCAATGGATGATGATTCTGTTTACGCTTCTATTACCAAAGCTAATTATTCCTTGTTTACATAAAAGGTTTGGCCTCTAATTGGGGCCAAGTGGCTGCGGCTTGCTTTTCAAACCCCATCTCGCCGGCCTATCAGTCTCCTCGCCTTCCGGTGCCCCACCTCGGGCCAGGTAGTGCTTTATCAACAGCCCCGGGTCTTGGCGCGCTCCAAAGAAGCCAGCCTCACCGGATTGCTCTTTCCGCTCCGGACTTAGCCAGTGAGAGTCGGATCTCTGATCGCGTTTAAGTGTTTAATGTCTTAAATCACCCTTGTGGGTCCTGGTGCTTGCTTTTGTCCCTAAATTGCAAGAGAGCAGAATTAAGTAGGGGAGAAGAGCGTAAGTCAGAGACGCTGGGAGTCTGCGGGGTCCCGAAGGCGCCCGTCCCGCCCTGCAGCGCGTTGGCGCCGGGCTCCAGGCAGGCGCGAGTCCCCGGCGCGGTGGGAGCCCGGGCCGCGCTCTGCGCCGCGAGCACCCGCGAGCACCCGGCGGAGCGCGCGTCTTCCCGCGGCCGGCCTGCGCCGACGGCCGGGCTGGGCGCGGGCCGGGGACGCCGGGTCGGTGGCCGGAAGGGCGCAGCCGAGCCGCGAGCGCCGTCCCCCGCCGCGCCCGGCCCGCCCGCCGCCCCTTCACACGCCCTCGGGCCACTCGGCGCGGCGCGGCCGCGGGAGCCGCCTGTTGCTACGCGGTGGCGGCCGGCCCGGCGGCCGCATTATGCGGGTAATGCGGTGTGACACCGCGCGAACAAAGGCGGATTGAGCGGCGCAGCGGGCCCCGACGGCCGGGGACGGCACAGCGGGGCCGGCAGCGCCGCTCCCAGGCTAATCCCGCCCCGCCCCCGCGGCCCGGCTGGGAACAGCGCGGCAGGCCGACCGGGCGGGCCGGGCCGGGCCGGGCGCCGCCGCCAGAGGCCGCCGGGAGCGAGGGGCTCCGCCCGCCCCCAGGGGGCGCCGGGCCGGGAGGGGCCGGGCCCGAGGACGCCGCGACCCGCGCGCCCTGCCCCGCTCCGCTCCGCCCGGCCCGCGCTGGCTGCGCCGCGCAGGATCCGACGCGCCCCGGCCGCCGGGTGCGAGCCGGCCGCGGCAGGCCTGCGGGAGCGCCCCGGGTCCCGCACCGGAGGCGGCAGGCCTGACACCGCGGCGCCTCGGCCTGGGGCTCGTTTGTGTGTTTGGAGAGGGCTGCACAGCAGATCCGGAGGGCTGTGCCTGCAAAACCTTCATGGCCACATCTGCGAAATGAGGTTAAGATAGAGAAGCAAGGCATTTGGTCCTTACCCAGCTTTCTAAGGCGGCTGTCGCTCTGAGGGAGGGACGTCCCTGAGTATCCTCGCTTTTCTTGCTAAACCCTGTGGCAGGACCACAGGGACTGCCCTGTCCCCACCTTTGGGCTTCTTCAGTCCAAAACTTTGGCTTTGACGTAGGGGCAGAATACACAAAGGAAAAGGCAGAGGTCCCAGCCCCTACTTCCTTGGTCGGGAAAGCTGTACCCATTTTATAGAAAGAATGAGGGAGACTCAAAAGGAAAACCTGCCATCCAAGTGGGGATGGGTTGTTTAGGTGAAGGCTATGGATTCCCAGACCTTCCTCCACACAGGCTACAAGCTGTCTTAGGAGTGGAGGCTCAGGACTGTTCTGGGGCCTCTGGAGTTTGGGAGGATGGAGAACATCCTCAGTGACCCCATGTATTAAGCAGAGACCACAAACCAGGACAGAGTGTGGCTTCTTTATTGCTTCAGCAATTTGCCAGAGCAGTCATATCTAAGAGGCACCCCTTTATGCTATGGTGGTGTTTGGGGCCCTAGGCAAATCAGTTAGCAGACCTGGGCCTCAGTTTGCTCGTCCATAAAGTGGGCATACTGATGGCTCTGGACCACCTGCCCTCCATTGTCCTTCGGTGTTGAGCCCTTAAACTCTTTCTCTTTCCTTCCCCCTCCTGCCCGGAGAAGTGGCGGCAGGGTTGGGGCATCCCCCAACCTAGACTCAGTACTGCCTCCCCTCTTCCCTCCCCACAGCCACGCGTGAGTCGGCCTTTGTGCATGCCATTGCTTCCGCTGGCGTGGCCTTTGCAGTCACCCGCTCCTGTGCCGAGGGCACCTCTACCATCTGTGGCTGTGACTCACATCATAAGGGACCACCTGGTGAAGGCTGGAAGTGGGGGGGCTGCAGCGAGGATGCTGACTTCGGGGTGCTCGTGTCCCGGGAGTTTGCTGATGCCCGAGAGAACCGACCAGATGCTCGCTCAGCCATGAACAAACACAACAACGAGGCAGGCCGCACGGTGAGCCTTGGCGCCTTTGCCCCAACCTGTGGGACTCCATCCTGGGCCCCCGTCCCTGGCCTGGGTCTGTGCTGCTCCAGGAGGCCTGTGTGTCCTGGGGCTCTGTTTTCCCTTGACCCAGCTTGGCTCCCACTTATACCCACAGTTGCTTCCTCTTTGGGAAGTTCCTGGTCTCTGTCAAGAATGAGTCTGTCTGGGGTGTGACCTTCTTGGGTGCAAGTAACCCCAGCCCATTCTGTGCAACTTGGCTGGCTGTGTAGGTGTTGGGCTGTGCAGTCCTGGGACTTCACTTTGAGTTCAGCTTCTACTGCTTTCTGTGGTTGTCTGACCTCAGGTGAGGCACTTAAACTCCCAGCCTCAGTGTTCCCATATGTTAAATGGGAATAACCCATTTCTTTACCCCAAGATAGGTCAACATGGATGGAGGGTGGTCTAGGAACCTCTGGTTTGTGTGATTCTAAGGCTCTTTTTCCTCTGTTCTCCCCTAGGAAGGGCCTAATATGTAGAGGAATAAATGTGAGGTCTGTCAATGCTTGGGGTGTCACCCAGAGAAATGCGTTTTTAGATCCGTGCCTCAGTCTCCTCCATTCTCTTCTTGGCACGGAATAAGAATAGAGAAGGCTGCAGGGGTGAGGGGAGTGAGGTTCTCGCGGCAGGGTCAGTCTGGGGTCAGCTGCTGTTTCTCTTCTCCAGACTATCTTGGACCACATGCACCTCAAGTGTAAGTGCCACGGACTGTCGGGAAGCTGTGAGGTGAAGACCTGCTGGTGGGCCCAGCCTGACTTCCGTGCCATCGGGGACTTCCTCAAAGACAAGTATGACAGTGCCTCGGAGATGGTGGTGGAGAAGCACCGTGAGTCCCGCGGCTGGGTGGAGACTCTGCGGGCCAAGTATGCACTCTTCAAGCCGCCCACTGAGAGGGACTTGGTCTACTATGAGAACTCCCCCAACTTTTGTGAGCCCAACCCAGAGACAGGGTCCTTTGGCACCAGGGATCGGACTTGCAATGTCACCTCGCACGGCATCGACGGCTGTGATTTGCTCTGCTGTGGCCGTGGCCACAACACGAGGACGGAGAAGCGGAAGGAGAAGTGCCACTGCATCTTCCACTGGTGCTGCTACGTCAGCTGCCAGGAGTGCATCCGCATCTATGACGTGCACACCTGCAAATAGGGAGCCAGGTAGGGTGGGGGGCAGAGAAGGGGGCTGCCCGTCGCCTCTCCTGGCGTTTGCTGTCTTATTGCTAAGCTGTGTGAGAGACACACAGTTCGCGTAGCCCAACAGGAAGTTAGCATTTCCCAAGCTTCACTGGGTACGGTTCTTGGGCAGCAACTTGGCGGATTACTCAAAGCCCAGGTAATAACCGAGTGTGCACGCAAATGCCACAGGCAGTTGATTAAAATTAGTAAATTATGAGCCAGATCAGAGAGCCACTGGCTATCATGGTGAGCATCTGTGGAGCTGTAAGAGAGATGCTGGGGGTTGGAAGCTGGCAGATCTGATGTCTGGTCCCGACTTTGTCCCTACCATGTTCTTTTACTTTTGGGGACGTCTTTTCCTATTGTTAAATGAGGGGGTTAGCCTGGGGATGTAGCTCAGAGGCACAGCACCTAAGGGCCAGGGATACAGCTCAGCGGCACAAGGGCCTGCCTGGCAAGAGGAAGGTCGTAAGTTTGATTACAGAAAAAAAAAATTTTTTTTAAATACTTGAAACAGTGGGCCGAAAGGTCTCTTCTACTCCTGGGGCAGAGTTGTTTTGCATCTACCTTGACTTTACAGGGTAAGTTTCTGCATAAGCATAAATCCTCCTAACCTTAGAGAAGTGGCTGGGGAAGCGCTGGCTAAGCCCGTATCCTGACAGATCTGAAGCTTAGGTGGAGGGAGTAGCACTCGCAGGGAGTTTATGGATGCGATGGGGAGGAGGAGGGACTCAAGTTCAGAGTGCCTGGGATGAGTAAGCGAGGATCAAAGGCTGGTAGCTTATGTTCTCAGGCTTCCCAGGGGTGGCCTGTGTGGGCGGCGGTGTGCCCTGGCCCTTGAGTCCATAGGACCCCAAGATAGGTCAGCATGGATGGGGGGTGGTCTAGGAACCTCTGGCTTGTGTGATTCTAAGGCCCTTTTCTCCCTGCTCTCCCCTAAGAAGGGCCTACTATGTAGAGGTGGGAGTGTGAGCTTCTGATCTAGCTTCTCCCACTAATCTTTCCAGAGGTGCTGTGAGGGGACCGAGCTTGGTTCATTGAAAAGTACTTGCCTACTAGGTCGTGGCTGGCCAGGGCAGACCAGGGGAGAGCACCCGACTCCGCTCTGTATGGCCAGGAGGGGGGAGGGGGCAAGAATCTGACTTCATGAGCAGGGGTAACCCCCTTCCCAGCCCATTTAGAAGATTGGTGGAGACCAACTGACGTCCCCAGAAAGACAGAGTCCAGAGAGACAGTTGGAGGTGCAACTTTTCCTAGTTTCAGGATAAAGCAGAGGAAGGGGGGGTGGGGAGCCCAGCGCCACCCTTGGTGGCTGTGTTACGCAGCGTCCCCAGTTCTCTGACCTCTGCAGTGGTGGTGATGTGGGAGGTAGAGCTGCACTATGAGGCTCAAGTGTACAGATGCGAGTGTATCTTTGAATCCAGCACTAACAGGAAGTGTGATAAATGCCATCAGAATCCTAACAGTGGCCACTGCAAAGAAACAGCATTAGTTGTTCAAAATGACAAGAAAAGTCAGTAAGAAGGCTCAAGCCCATGTGCAATGCCAAGGTAGAGGGAAAGTTAAAAACGCCAGCACTCACCTTGCTCTGATGTCTGCTGGAGGCAGCACAGTGTCCCCACTGCCAAGTGTGACAGCCCTGACAGTTCTGAGAAGGGATGGGGGAAGAGAAGATCTTGAGGACACGCTCTGGACTCCAACCTGCCTGTTTCCCAGAAGGCACACCAGGGCACGCTGAGTGAGCGGCTGAGGCCGGGCTAAGACTGCCCCCAGAAAGCCCTCCGCGCAGGGTCTGCGTGGGCCACGGCAGCAGCAGTCTTCGCTTGATCCATGGCTCCAGGAGCCACGTGTGTCCCAGATACAGGCTTGTGCAGCACTGGCTTTATTTTTCTTGAGACAAGGTCTTGTTATGTTGTCTACACTGACCTGGAATTTGTAAGTGATCCTTCTGTTTCAGCCTCCTGAGGGCTGGGATTACAGACATGTGCCCCCATGCCCACTGCAGGTCAGTTCTTGACCATGTGGGCAGCTGAGATCTGCCAGGCAGAGAAGCGGGTGCTAGAGTGGCCCTTGCTGTCCAAGAATCCCTTCCCTCAGCCCCAGTCTGTCTACTGATACTGACCCTAAGAATCAGGGATGCAGCTCAATGGCCCACTGGTGGCGTGCCTGCTTAGCATGTTTGAGGCCCTGGGCCAGTTTCTAGCAAAACACACATCTATGCTGTTCATCAATCCACTTTCCTTATTTCTGAAAATAGTGCTATTCCGGTTTGTGAATTAATGCCGAGAGCCATGTCCTGCTGGGCCATCCTACCCACGAAGAGCCTGGCCTGTGAGGAGACAGCTGAAATATCCTGGCCAACGAGGGCTGGCTGGGTGGCTTCCCCAGTCTTGTGGACAGTCTAGAGCCATAGGTCTAAGATGGGCTGAGCCTGTTTTTCCTTTCTATCCCTTAATCCATGCAGACACTTCTTTTGTAGTATATACGCTGCCACAGTGAGCACTTGTAGCCATTTTTTCATGGGGACCAGAAGAAGTCGGCAGTGATGGCAGGGGAGGGTCCTTTGCTTTCCTCTTGGTAATCCTGTTGGTCTTAGTGGGATAGGAGGAGAAGGGAGCTGCAGAGCAAGCCTGCACCCTGCACACCTGGTGCCATACCTGGTGCCATACTTGGTGGGAGACCTGAGTCACCCAGCATGGCGGAGCCCTGCCTAGGTGCTTTCTGTGTGGGAAAAACATTTTCCATTGCTTCTGGGTGGTCTTGTCTAGTATCTTTAGTTGATCATTAATTTGGTACCTTAACATGGGTCCCTTACAAGTGCCAGATTTATTCCTTGTAATAAACTATGGGCCAGGCTCTTCGTGGGTAGGACAGCTCAGTAAGACATGGTTTTCAGCCTGACTCCACAAACAAGGAGACCCAGAGAGGCAAGAGCTAGCCTTGATCACGGGACACACTGACTATTCATGAAGATGGTGTTGCGTGGGACAAAGCTCTCTGCTTATCACCAGATGGGCTCCCCCGGGTAGGCTTTGGGACATGTGATGATCATCGGTGGACTGGAAAAGCTGTGGACGAGAGTCAAGTGGCCTGGCCAACCCAAGTCCTACATCTGTCACTAACTTGCTATAGGACCTTGAGCATCGCTCTATAATCTTTTTTTGGGGGGGTTACCAGGGATCGAACTCAAGACTGCGCACTTGCAAGGCAGGCGCTTATGCCGCTGAGCTAAATCCCCAGTTCTGTCTCTAAAATCGTGCTGTGCCCATTTTGTCCTCTGGAAGTCTTGTGTTGGCCTTGTAAGTACCCAGAGGAGTCGAGTGTTGCTTGGGAATGCCCGAGAAGTGGCTTTATGCCTCAACTCCTTTATGAAATGGAACTACAACCATGAATAAGACATACACATTGGCGCTTCCCCGGGAATTATTCATAGTTCTCTGGTCTGGACCACTATTAAGCCATGTGGAAACGCAATGCATGTCTGGCACCAGCCCCCCACAATCAGTAATTTGACTGGCAAGGTTTTTTCCAGTCTGTGGTCAACAAGAATGCCTGCATTACAGTGCTTACCTGCCCCTGGCTTCCCGTGGCCTGAGACCCTCAGCTACAAACAGGAGTCCTTAGAGTGCTATACCATTGAGCTACATCCACGGCCCTTTTTTAGCCTCACTAAATTGTCTTGGTTAACCTCAAACTTGTAATCCTCCTGCCTCAGCCTCCCAAGTAGCCGGGATTACAGGTATGCACCATCACACCCATCTAGTTGGACTCCAGCACTTGTAAGCACAAGAGAAATGCTGAGATTAGGGGCCTTTAACCTTTATGCTCCAAGGGGTGGTCTTCCTGGAAGAGGAGACAAGTTTCTGATTTTTCTTATTTTCCCAAAGGGCACTGGGAAGGGGTAAAGTGTGCGGCTGGGCGGATTCACCGAAGTCCCACGGGAAGCAGGACCTAGAGCCAAGCCAGCCCTCAGTGTCTGCCAGCAAGGAGCACAGACTTGCCAGCTGCACGCGGTAAACGACATGGACCCAGCCAGCCTGCGGCAGGAGGCTCCTCCCTCTCTCATCTTACGTTTCTCACCCTGCTCTGGTTGGTGTGTGGCTTTTACAGAGAGGCTTTCTTTAGTTCTCTAGGGTCTGCTAGCAGCAGACCCAAGGCTTACCTTTGCACATACTAAATAAAAAAAAAAAAATCTGCTCCAACAGAACAGGCTGGGCTAATGTGAGCTCTCGGCCCGGTGGTAAACATGAGCATGGGCAAAATTCTGTCTCCAAGCTGCTTCTCATGGTGACATGCTGGATGCCTGTGAGGTGGGAACTGGGAAGTAGGACAAACCTCTGCAGTCTCCTTTTCTTAGTCTACTGCCATTCAAACCGGATATACTTTGCCATTCTGATAAAAGCCATAGGTGTAGCTGGGATGAAGTGTTGGGGAGGTCCCCAGCAGTCCTTCAAGGCAGATTTCAGTTTTGAAGAAAGAGTTCTGGGTGGCTGAAGAGCAGCTGGCTTCTCAGCCTCATTTTCTATATAAACTTGTTCTGCAGAGAGGCAGTGAGATGTCAGTTTTTTCCCATCATCCTGCAGTAATTTTCTTGCAGTGGACGTTGTAAATAGAAAGGTTATGGATGGAGCAAGTCTCCAGCTCAAATGGCTTCGTACAGAAACAAGCAGTTTCTCTGGAAGGAGCTGTTCAATCTTCCCAGCCCTCCTCACCTGCAGATTCTCCATAAAAGCAGCCCCAGATAGAGCAGTTGGACTCTAGATCACCTTAGTGTAAAATTAGACAAGAGCAGAACTCTGTACTGCAATTCCACTTTTGTGACTAGCAAATGGAGAAGTGAAGTTTCACTCTCCAGTAAAGCTGGGTCTTCCTGCATTCTTTCTCCTCTTTGGTCTGTATGAGTAAACAGAAATGCAGAGTTCTCCCACAAAGCTCTTTCCCCTCACCTGCATGTGAGATAGCATCAGTCTCTGCAGTTACCAAGGATCTGGATTAGGTGTTCAAAGAGAGCAAGCAGTCACTTGTTCCTGGGTAAAGCATCTCCCAGCTGAGTTCTCCTTGATGTACACTGGTCCTGCTGAGTGTCCTGGAGGAAGGTAGGCAGATGGATTGGATTTGACAGACTGGATCCAACAGCTCTGTCTCATGGAGAATCAGAAAAAAGAGATGCAACAGGGGAACAGTAAACAAAGATCTAACTTTTCTTCCTTCTGTGTGGGGTCTACCTAACCATGACCCAAGATACTGGGTCAGCAGTCTCTGGGTTTTACAGGCAGGCTTGCCAAGACGGTCATCCAGGAGGCTCTCTTGACCCTGATGGCCAGAAGTCCTGCTAATGATAAACATCCCTGTCCCTCCACAGAGTCTGAAATGTCCTTCCCGTGTCACCATAGACTGAAGTTTTAAATCGTATCAACTGGATAATGCTTGCTTTATGTGAGAATACTTCAGCAGAATGGATACAAATTTTTAAGTCTTTTCATATCTATGTATTCTATATTAAAGTGATAAAGTCATGTTTCTGGGGCGTATTCAAGTAGCTGACAAGTAATTATTTAATAATAGTACATGAGTGCATTGTAATTATTCTTGCCACCATAGTCAGGTAATAGTATCCAATGGAAATTTCCTATCAACCTGCTGTATCCAAAGTTTTGTAAAAAGTTGTAGAAGTTGTGATCTTTTTGATTTTATATTCAAAAAGTCTTTTTATAAATATTATTTATTATACAATGTATATACCTTTGAGTTAACTAAGATTATATATTATATAAATATATATATATTTGGAGAAAATATATTTCATCATGCAGTTTTTTCTGTTAAAAGTCATTAAAGAGAAGGTAAAAAACCTTAAAATGGGTACATTGTACCATGTGTGGAGTTTTCAGATTCATGCTCAGGAGGTCAAGAATATGAATGTGTTGGCCCCAACTAATTAAATTACCAAATTAAGGTCATTTCCTCTTGTTCTCTAAGCAAAGTCACCTGAGATATCATGGAACTAGGTCTGGTTGGCTATAGGACTTTCTTATGGTATATTTTGTTCTTCATCAACTTCTAACAAGCAATTTCTAAGTAAGTAGTATTACTTACTTCTAAAGTATTAGGAAAGTATTAGTTCGTTTCATTGACTTGAGCACTTCTGTCATGCATATCAGTGTGTAAGATCCTTCTCAGGGACGTGGCCAGGGCCAGCAGACCATGTGTGCATGGTGCCGCAGTTTCCTCCTTATATTCTCATGTCTCGTGAGTAGAAATGGGCCTCCTGCTAGCTCCACAAACACTGTGCTGTAGAAAAGCTAGTTGGGGTGGCAATAAGACATGGCTTATTTCCCCAGCTTTGGGTGGTCTAGGAACAAGTAGCCCTTGAAATTGTAGGTAAGTTTGGGCAAAAGGGCCTGCTGTTGTGCACGCTCCGGGGAAGGACATTCAATCTTTGGACTGGAGTTTCAAAAGGATTCATCTGAGGTTCACGCTCTACTTTGCAATGATGATGGGACGCTGGAACTCAAGTTTTACAGCACACAGGTCTTTAATTCTCCAGATTTGCTTATAAAGTTTCACCTTCTGTTTATTCAGCATATTACTTCAGACAATAAGGAAAGTATTTTTCTTTTTTCTGACCCAACTCTGTTAGGAACAGGTTTTACTTTACAGAAAAGCAAACAAAAATAAAAACAAAATAAAAAAAAGCAGGAAAATGAAGCAGTCTGCCTTGTGTGGAAGAGCTGGGCTGTCTCTCAGACCATTAACCGTGGAGCAGAAATGGCTACTAGATGTTCATAAACTTTCTTTCCCCGGGCCTTATGCATGTTTGACAAGTGTTTTCTACCAGTGAGCTATATTCCCAGCCTTCTCTCTCTCTCTCTCTCTCTATATATATATATATATATATATTTTTTTTTTTTTAAACTATATTTTTTGAAAAAGGGTCTTGTTGCCCAGACTGGCCTTGAATATCTTCTTGCCTCAGCCTTCCAATTAGCTGGCATTTGTAGGCATGCGTTATCACGCCCAGCAAGATTCATGGACTTTATGTGTCTTTATTTAGTTCCTAAAAATCTCAAAACATAAAAACTTATGCAAGGTATTAGATAAACAGGTCCTTCGCATCTTACAGTGTTGGTCATCTTTTATTTTGCTTTTCCATAAGCTAATATTTATCTACCCTTGTATTCTGATATTTTTCAACCTAAAGGATTGCCAAATATTTAAATGGTCCCTATTTATAATTAACCAAGGCCATGTATAAGCCTATGATTAACCATATTCTATAATTAAAGAGAATCCAGTTAGTTGACAGCTATGCTTAAACATTAGTTTCTCCATAAGCATTATACTTATAATACCTAAAAACAAGTTAAAATCTAAAAGGAAAAGGATATATTGAGAAGGTATCTTCCAAAGCAATGAAGAAAGCAGAAGGGAAGGGATGTATGTGTAAGTTCAAAGATGAGATCAAATATAGTCAAAAGGAAAGAAGCAAAAGCAGAAAAGATGGCGGTTCCATCCACGCAGCCCTGCGTAAAGGGACACTCATGTCCCCAGCTGGTGTACACGCGGAAAGGAAGGTAGTTCAGCACAAGGATGCTCCCATCACTTGCAGCTCCACAGAAAACTCGCTAGGAAGCATTTGTGTTACCACTAATCTTACACTCCCAAAACTGTGACAGTCAGCTGTGTAGGGATTATGTGCTGTGAAAATCTCAAACATGAGTCTTCCCTGCAAATTCTGTCCTCGCCTACTTGGGGATTCTTGCCAGTCACAGGCACTATCTCTGCATCTTAATGCCACGGTGTCTGTACAGCACACACCCTCCAAAGGCTCATCTCAGACTCGGTCTCAGCACAGTCTGCCAGCTGATGAGAAACTTGAGTTCATTTTGCAATAACTTCTGAAATTTACATGCTTCTTTTGAACTCTCAAACACACCTTGCCCAGTCACTTATTTGAAGAGCCTATGTACCAAGCTGCCAAACAAAGAAAATGAAATCCCACTCTTGCCTTCTCTCTTTGGGCTTAGTAGTTTTTAATAATTGTCTCAATGCTTCAGAAAGTCTGTTGATCAGGATTTGATAACACAGACTTCAGTCTACTCCATAATTCTGTGATGTGTGGCTGGAACTCATATTTAGACAACATAAAGATAGCTGTAAAGCAAAACATATCAGGTATTAAGCCAAATTACAGTTTTTTGGTACTACCTTAAGATCCTCCATGAAGATATAAGAAAAAAAATTTTTTTTGGTACCAGAAATTGAATTAATGACCTCACGACTTCACACTGCCAGGCAGGTGCTATACCCCAGCCCCCCAAAATGTAAAAATTTAAGTAGGATAAAATAACTTCTGAAGTTTCCTGTTCAAGTCGCCAATATGTGAAGAACTCCTGAGGCTGCTGGAGCTCCTTGCTGTGCCACCAGACCACTGCACGTGAAAGCACTCTGCCGAGGCTCCTCTTTCCACAGCTCTCGGGACGCCTGCCCCACTTTCATAAAAGTTTGTGAAGTTGGTTTCTTCCCTAAAGTGCTTTGCTGATTTTCTGGGGTGCATTTGCCCTAACCTGAGCCAGTGGTGATCAGAGTTTAGGCTGAGATATGATGGTTCAGAAAAATGTGAAAAACTATAAAGGATACCACAACGAACCATGAGAAGAAATCACAATGAAGTTGCCCCTTGGTTTATATATTTCATAGGAAGGGATAATTCTAACCGAGAAACAGCTTCCCTTTCTGTTCATGGCTCTCAGTAACTACCTCAATTTTGGTATAAAACATAAGCATATTTTAATATGCTAGTAACATTTTTCTTTTTAAGTAACTATACTTTCTAGTAAGAGACTTTGAAATAAAAAATCATCTTATGATGAAATGAAACAAGGAAGGATTTCTTTTCTTCGTAAGTTCCTATTAGTAATCTTTATTTTGTAAGAAGTATTGGTCCATAGAACATTTTCAGATATAGTTACTCTTTATTGCATTCCTTCATTTGCAATAAACAATATAATTATGTTTTTCAATATAGCTTTGGACAGAACACAGAGACATTAACCTAGTTTAACAAGAGACACAAGTTAATACAATGTGTGCTACTTTCATAGGAAGAGAAGGGCAAGACTGCAAAGACAGGGAATCCAGGATACTGGCCACCAGGAATCATAGAACTCACAGTATAATCCACTGTTTTAAAAGCCACAAAATAAGCGATGAATGAAAACCCCAAAGTACACAAAGAGCAGGATTTGGAGATGATTTGCCCTCTACCATGAGGACCGACGATAGCCACACCCAAGTTCTACTGGAGCCACAAGCCTCTCACGCAGCGTGTGTGACACAGGTGCTTTGGGATGGCTTCCAACCGCTGGTCCTCAAGTTTTAAGCAGCAGTGGTGAGAGTAGCATGCTCTGCAAACCTTATCACCACAAAGAATGACCTAATTAAACTGCTTCTACTTCAGTGATGAGATATAGCACCTTCCAAAGGACTCACTGAGCTCTTTTACCCTTCGAAAGAAATGTGTGGAAGGTAAAGGAAATGCCCTCAAGCCATCTGGATGAAGCACTACTTTCAAAACATGGATATTAAAGGACTGTTGAGGGGAGTAGGCCAAAAAGTGGTTTATTTTTTGGATGACAGTGTTTTTTATTTTCATGTCAAATAGCACAGAGAATTTAAAATACAGGAATGACATTCTAAGTAAGTCATTGGGCTAAGGAAAAAAGAAAAGTGGTAATACTAATAAGCCTTTAATATTATCCTAAGGAACTGACCCACTTAAGAGTTGGACACTAATTAGTGCTGAGAGGTTTGTAAATTACCTTATTTTAATAACTCCTTTCTGTTTAGGGGTGCACATTTTTCCATACATAAAATTTTTTAGGAGTAGCTCCAAGTGGTAATGATTAGCATATCTCTTACCACAGAGCAAATTAATTACACTAAGGGGACGTCACAGTCAACACAGTATTAATTTTTTTTAGTAAGAAAGATCTGATTGCAGCCTGAAAATATCTTTGAAAATGAGTGAAAATGGGATCTTGGATATTGAAAGCCTTGTTTCTTCAGGCAAACATAACCTATTTTGTGGGAGAACCTTTAACTAATACCCAGTTACCTTTAGTGTTAGCACAGAGAAGCTATAACAGAATCCCTCAGAAGCCACACTTCTACTCATTGCTCCTGCTTGGCATGTAGAAGTCTTCCTTTGAACAGGCAAGTGCTGCTTTGCAACATTCGTTACATATAATGAGAGTTTTGGATGAATGGTAGCGGTACGGAGCTTTAAATGTGTAGTGTGCACAAATACAGCAGGTCTCCCACACACAGATTCTGAGTAAGAAGGAGTCATCTTAGCTTGTATGGAAAGGCAAGTACAGCATTCTAAAGCAAGTTTACACCTTCCACAAAACACTAGAATATCAATAAGCATAGGAAGGGAGTATTGCATTAATCATGCAAAGCAAGTGAGCACATGTTGAAGGTGGTTCACTTAGTTCAGTATCTTGAGCAAGATGAATGAAGATTCCAGGCCATCTTTAACTTGGTCACTTCCTTTGGTCACTGTGTTGCAAGTAGTCCACTTTCAAAGTCAAGGGGGCTACTGCAAAAGAAATACCAGAAACACAAACAAATGAGCACTTGCAAAAAGTCATCCATCATGGGATCATTAAGAGTTGCTTAATTTTTACTTATGTTTTTCACTATGTATTTGCAAAAGAATTGTCACAGCTCCATGCATTTAAAAGCAGGTTCTAATAAATATGTACCATCAAATTTTTTCCTGCATTCTGACAAGGAAGTTTTGCGAAGCAGGACAGGGAGAGCAAACCAACAGAACAACCAACTTCCTTGCTTGG